AAAAAAAAAAAACTCAGACCCACAAAATTCAAAGATCTAATCCAAAAATGGGCATCTGAGATGAATACACACTTCTCAGATGAAGAAATACAAATGGCAATAAATACATGAAAAAATGTTCAACATCATTAATCATTAGAGAAACGAAAATTAAAACCAAACTGAGATTCCATCTCACTCCTGAAAGAGTGGCCAGGATCAAGAAAACCAACAAATCCTGGAGAGGCTGTGGGGAAAAAGGAACTCTCCTACACTGTTGGTGGGAGTGTAGACTGGTACAACATTTGTGGAGATCAGTCTGGAGATTTCTCAAAAAGCTGGGACTGGAAGTCCTATTTGTTCCAGCTATTCCACTTCTAGGCATATCCCCAGAAGAACTGAAAACATCATACCACAGTGATATATGTGCAGCTATGTTTATAGCAGCACAATTTGTAATCACCAGATCTTGGAAACAACCTAAGTGTCCATCAATTGATGAATGGATAAAATGTTGTAGTAGTTTTATACAATGGAGTACTACTCAGCTATAAAGAAGGATCACATCGAGATATTTATAAATAAATGGGCGCAGCTTGAGACCATACCCATAAGTGAAATAAATCAAATGCACATGTGTGAATACTGAATAGTTTCCCTAGTGTAAGAAATGATTCAAATATGTAAAAGTATGTGATAATCATGATTCCCCATTATGTGGCTTTCAAGCCTTATAAAGTTTTCACTCATTAATTGAAATGGCTTTATTCTGGCCTGCTTGATATTACTGCCTGTGATGAAATGAACAGCTATTTTGAAGAAAACAAGACATCATAATAGCTAGTGCTGATTTAATATCATCTTGTTTTGAAGCCCCACCAAACTGCTGCTCTTCTGTCTCCACTGGTTTTATCATGTTGTACCTTACTGGATTTAATTATGTGTGATAGTACAAACAAAAAATTTTATAGGCAAAGAGATAATATAGAAACCATTGTTCGTTTTCTGTTAGCTGGTTCTAAATGCCCTGTAATACTTTCATCCACTTCAATGGTTTCACGCTGTCATGATATGTTTGATGCTATCATACACGAAGTTATATTCAAATATTTCAAGGAAAAAGACACTATGGTAATTACTGTTAAGTTGGGTTATTTGGTGGTGAAGCACTAGGTTGCTGAAATTGCCATGCTTTGACCTGTTGTTATGTTGTTATATTCTCTGTTATCCTAATCTCCCCCTTATTCATTAAAATTTTTTTTATTTTTTTAATTAAGGGGGAAAATCAAAAAAATTAACAGGATATATTATAATAACTTTTTTGATTTCCTATTAACTTGATTTGAAGCCCTGTATTACTCCCACTATCTTGTTTTGACTGAATAGACTGTTCCGTTCTGTTTGATAGTATCAAGTTTGAGGGTATAGGAACTTTTTTGAAGGCAGTAAGATTCACTATGATGCCCATTCTGGTTTGACTATTATCTTCTTTTGAGGTCCTGTAATGTTTCAGTGTTTAGGTTTTATTGGTCTTGTTCTGTACTGTTTTGTTCAACTTTATTATACCTAATGATATAGGCAATTCTTTTTACAGAAACAAGAGACATTATGGTAACCATTGTTGATAACCTTATACTCTGTTTTTATATCATGTGCTATGTCTATCCTTGGTTTTGACTGACAGCTTTGTTTTGTCATATTTGGTTTTATTCTCTTCCAAAAAATAGTAATAAGAACTATAGGAGTAATAAAACCCAAAATGTATAAATTTTGTTGTAAAAAAGAGAGGAAAATAAGTGCTCTAAAGGAGCACTAAACAACTGCAAGTGTGTTTATGTGTGTCAAGATAGATGCCCATATTACTGAGTTTTTGGGTCATTGAATACAACTGTTTGCAGTCTCACTGTCCACTTTGTATGCTTTAATCGTGTAACTTGAACAACTATTTCTAAGATGACAGTATGTAATCTATTAACAAGGATTTCTTGCCGTTTTTTTTTTAATTCTGTATTACTTGTTGCCTTACACTGTTTTGTTTTGTTTTTTGTTTTTTCCTTTTAAATAAAAAAATAAAAATAAAAAATAAATAAATATCAAAAGATCTCACCTTGTTGGTACAATCAATACATGACAAACTCAAAAGCAATATAAAATTAAATGGCAAAAACTGAAAACTTATTGCTTAAAATTAGAAGAAGGCAGAGTGTACACTTTCAACATGACTGCTCAGTGAAATTGATTACTTGGAAATTTAGCCATAACAACGTGACAAGCATAAAAACAAAGAATTTTATTATCCCTATTTGCAAGTAATATGACTCATTGCCTAGAACACACAAGAAATTCCAGTAAACTATTTTTGTATTTGATGAACAATTCAGGAAAATGGTAGGAAATAAATTCGACCCATACAAAAATTACATTCCTATGTGGTAAGAATGAGCCCACTGAGAAAGAAATTGGGAAATCTATTCCATTTATAATAATGTCAAAAAAACTAAATGCCTGAAAATCAAATTTATCAAGGAAGCAAAATTGTTCTATAATTAAAATGACAGAATACTTAGAAAAACAAAATAAAAAACATATTAGAAAATGGAAACATTCCTTGTTCCTGAATTAAAAATAATATATTGAAAATATTCATATTGTTCATATCTATCTACAAACTTAATGAAACTCCTATGAAATACCAACAGCATTCTTCACAGAAATACAAATAAAATCTTAAAATTCATATGGCTTCAAAAAAGGCACAGGAGAGCCACAACAATCCTGAGTACAAAAAGTAATCCTGAGTTCATCACCAAAGCAGCTGGCATGCTACACTGAAAGGCCCTGACAAGAGTAGCATGGAGCAGGGGAAGAGGAGCAAGCGTGGAAACAAACGTGCTCCTGCAAGCACCTGATTTCAGACACATGGACAGAGTAATGTGTTAGAGAACAGAAACACAGAAACACACACGCTCCATGTTATTTTAGGTATTTTTCTTGAAGTTCTTCATTATTTTTTTCAATTAATTTAGTTTACTGGTACATTCTAAGTATGCACAGTGATCACATTAACCATAGGGAATTTGTGCATACAAAAGTTGACTTTTTTTCCATTCCCCTATGTTCCTTTCAATCTCTCAATTTTCCTTTATTCTTGTATCACTTGGATACAAGCCATTACTGTCACTGAGATTTTTCAGTCTATGCCAACAGAAAAGTCAACTTTGGAATGGAAACGATTCCTCCTGTAATACACATTTGAGTTGCTTTGTGAAGTTGTGTGTGTGTGTGTGTGTGTGTGTGTGTGTATATAAAGCAAGGATGGGAGGATGGATACAATGTGATCATTCAGTACTGTCTAGTGACTTAGGCAGCAGTCTTGTCTTTTGCTATATATTTTCAACTGCTGCTTCATTAAGTGCCATTCAACTATGTTCAATAAAGTTGTATCCAGATCTTGACTGGCAAGTAAAATTTAACCATAATCCTGAAATGAAACTTTAAACTTATGTATGCCTTCCGTATCCTGAATAGAAATCAAAAATTCTCCTGTGCAGTACATTTAACCTTCAAATTTTAAAGAGATTGAACACATGGACTTGAAATAAATGAGTGTTTGCCTCCTCGATATTAATAATTAATGCAATGCTCTTAACATATTTTACTCTATTACTTTCTTTTGCTTCTGAATACTGTGCTGTCCAACATTTCTGACTCACTATTATGAATGAAATGCTTAGAAATATTGTATCCACCTTTCATTTTCACTCTAATAAATTCTGACATCATAATAACCCATGCAATTGATTCTCCCAGTTGGATGACTCCATGTTATTTCTAGTGTTTTATGTCAACACCGAAGTCATTTGCCAACCAAACTATTCCCAGAAATCAACTAACAATATCTTTGGCTCCTACAAATAAATGGATCAAAATCTACACTTACCACTCTTAATTCCAGGTATTGTTTCAACTAAATGTTTCCCAAGATAGCAAAGGTCAACACTCTGCAAATAATGTCCTAAAACTAAAATATCAGAGCACTGGGAGATTCAGTGTTTTCTGTCAGCACTGCTTCCCTCTTACTTCTCCAAATCTACACAGTTTACCAGGATTCTCATGAGAGCATCTTCTCTATGAAATTCTTCAGTCATTATTCCTTCTTGTGACTCTATCGAGTTTAAGAAAAACTGTAACAGTCACCTCAGTGGTCTGCATGACTGGCTTCTCATCTCTCTCTTCAAAATCCACACTATAGATACAAATAGCCTTTTTTAATTTATTTTTTTTTTAGTTTTATTTTGAATGTAGTAAAAGTATGACAGAGCAAGAAAGAACAAAGCCAATCGAGACAATGTAGTGACACTGGTACAGAACTTCAAAGCATGATACGGGGATGGTAGTAATAGGTACTAAAGTATATCTCATTATCTTCACAACAGTAGTCCAGTCAATTAGATGTAGCGAAATCAAGCCAATAACAGACCATTGTAACATCAATTGAAGGAGACTATTGACTAGAGCAAAACAATCATTACAAAACATAACAGTGAAAATAACTTTTGCCTTCAAACAGAACATAGAAGGAAATCCCCCATAATTGCTATGTTGCATATATTGCTATATTGCTATATTACTATATTGCACTCCCTGGTAGGCTCACGGTTGCCTGATTCTCCTCCTGCTGACGCCAGGGGTGCTTACCAAGAGAGCAGCAAATTGCCTTCTTGTGCAGCCGCCTAAGTCCCACCATGACAGGTTTCGGTAGCCACTGGTCCTCTTCCTGGCGGTGCCAGGGTGCTTACCAAGAGGGCCAATACAGATAGCTTTAACATGCCACTTTAATCATTTAATCTTTTACCCCAGATAGACTAAAGAGTCAGTATCACTAGACCATGCTGGGAGAAATAAATTTGGAGTGACATATTTAACATATTCAGCAAAACATCTCTCTTACTGAAGCTGTTAACTTTGAAGAAAAATCAAGTATGTTAATGTACCTAAAATATTCATCATCATAGACCTACCTTAGGTAAAGGTTTGGCAGGTTTGCAGTGCAGTCCTCCAACAAATTCAAAATTAGGCAAATATGGACGAGGAAATTCAAAGTCCCAGTATGTCCGAATTAGCCAAATTTCAGCTTTACCCATAATCTCACACAAGGTAGTGGGTCTTCCTGAAAAAACAAATTTCAGTAAAGGAAATCAGTGTATTTAGTTTCTAAGGGAAAAAATTATCAATAATTTCCTTCCAAGCCATTATGGAGAAAAATTAGGGCTTCTAGAATAATTATATGTTAAAATGGAAAATCTGGGGCAGAAGGGAGGGGAGAGGAAGGACAGGATGTGACTAGAGGAAGATGAGAGGATGAAGGGTAGGGAAAGAAAGGAAATGTGTCACTGAATAACAATAAATGATCCAAAACTTAAATACATATACAATTACTGATAAGCTTAGCCCCCATTTTCCTTCCTAATAAATGGCAGAAAACATATTAGTTCCTTCACATAGGCCTGAAATCACCTTCACTTACTCTTCAATTTCCATTAGGCGTATGCATGTTTTTGCAGGTTTTTGTAGTCTGTGGTCATACATATCACTGAAAGATCCAACAAAATGCACTCCATCATTTCCTCTTGAGTCAACTCTCATCTCCTAAACTCATTTGTCATTCTTTGTTAAGTGAAAATGAGAATCCTTTCACTAATGCAGACAGAATATAAACACCTCCTTGGAGACATGAGATGTATACATAGATCACACCAATATGACAAACTTAAAAGTTATTGTTAAAAGATTTTTTTTTGAAAGTGACATTTCTAGCTTTTAGTTCCATAGTTCTGTGAAGAATGTGTTTGTAAATAACAATGGAAACCATTTCTTTACATAAAAATTGAAAACAGATTCCATTCTTATTTATGGCCAAATAAATGTAAAATTTAGTGCTTTATAGTTATGAATCTTACTGCATAGGTCATGTTTGCGAAGTTGATACACATAGACAGCTATCCATTCCTACCTAAGTATTAAGTTCTTTCAAATGTCACGTGAGTAAGTTAATATATAAAATCTCCAATTTTAAACAGTAAAATATAAATTCTTCATTTCATGTACACCTTCTCTGAGGGCCCATTACAGATAACCTTGTCCAATTACATGAGCAAAAATGACTCTTAAGAAGCCCAAGAGCAAAGGAAAACAGGAGATACCTTGATACCGGAAAGGATAATTGGCAGAATTCACTTCACAATATTTCAGAGAAATAGTGCTTTCTTGCTTACTATTTACTTCAGTTTATGATGTCACATATAAATTCCATGTGAGTAGCAAGTCAACGTAGCCTCAGTCACAATAACAGCAATGGATGATGTTAATGAACTCGGCAAATTCTACAAATAATTGAATGTAGAACTGACTGAATTTTCCATCAGATTTTTTGTGCACTGAGAGAAAAATAGTTGAGTAAACACTGACTCTGGTTACGTCACACCTTAGTTACTTCAAAAACTGAGTTCCATTCAAAAAATGTGAAATACTTCCCGAACATGTTTGGGATCAGTAAGAAAATTTTAAATACAACTAAATTTTAAATATTCTAATAGTAATATGAAGTACTTTCTAAGTGAGTTAAATATGGGAGACAGACCATACAAAAGTACATTTGGGGTCATTTTTTGAGATAGACAAAGCCTGGGTAAACACGAAGAACATAAAGGTTCTGCCAGGTGTGCTAGCACATCCTAGCAATCAGAAGGCAGAGGCATGGGGATTGCCATAAGTTTGAGGCTAGCGTGGGCTAGAAAGTAAGTTCAAGGCCAGCCTAAACTACATAGACACACCTGGTCTTAAATAAATAAATAAATGAAAGTAACACTAAAAATGTCCCAAAAAAGAAGTTCACTTATAAATTACTAAGCACCCATGAGTGAATTCAGATAATGACTAAATGCATCCTGAAGTGATAAATTTAAATATTTAAGTATTATAATATTTTATAAAAGTTAATGTCAAAGTAGATATCTTGTAAGATTAAAATCATTAAATTTTTTAAAAAATTAAATGATATATACTTTAGTAAAAGAAGAGAAAAAACTTATGATTATTCTGAGCTGTAATGATATTCAATATTTATGAATAATGTTAGCTGCTTACAGTAAATCACAAATCAGAGTTCTCCAGCACTAGTAATGAGGCAACAAAATAAAGAATTTAAAACTCAAACTTTCATTTTGAAATATTGTGAAAAATATCAGCAGGAGAAAAGTCAAAGATACAAATTAAAGACATGTTAGTTCAAATGTGTATTAAAACCACTACAGTTAATGAGGAGAAAAGTATTTTCAGAGAAGAATTTAAATCATGAACATAATTCCATCCTCCAAATAGTTCATGTCAGTTTATTACTGGAAGCTTTTCTTATTCTGACAACTAACATTAAAACTTTTTATCAAATGAGAAATTACATTTCCTGGGAAAAACATTTCATTGCACAAGAAAGGTTTTGTGCCTTTTATGTGACAAAAAGGACATGTTTTGTCTTTTATTGGATTCACCTGTGTGTTTGCGTGATTTTTGTTTGCCTTTAAAAAAAAATCTGTGTGAAGTGTCAAGGACTCTTACAAAAGCATTTGATTATTTAATAAAACTACACATACAGCAAAAGAATTCTTGAATTCTCTTCTTAATCATGTTAATGAACAAACATCACTATCATTTATAGTTTAATGAGAAAGTAAAAGTTTTGAATACATTTTTCTTCCATTTCTCTAGGCTTTTTCTTATCTTCCTAAATGACGTTGAAAAGTAGCCTAGAGTAAAATTCAGTCTCTTACCTAATGCTTCACTGTAAAACTGATCCCAAAACTTATAATCATACTGCTGTATCCAGAAGTCAAACAAAATTGAAAACATCATATTTTTCACCCTTTCCATAAATGTCATTCTGGTTGTGAGTCCCCCCAGGGGAACAGGCACGTAGGAAGGTGGAGCTGGAAGCTGCCCACAGTATTTCTCTACGGTGTAGCCTGTGAAGAATCTTAGAGTATTCACAAAAGGAATGCCAAGCATCTCAGCCACCAGCTCCCCACAGGGTAACACGGGGTCTGTAATCAACACATCATACTTGGATTCCTGGAGCTTCTTCATGAGCGACTGGTTGTAGACTGTACTTCTGCAGGCAAGTCCCATGTCTTTAGTTACATCAATAAAGAATTGCTGCAGTAGTCTTCCCGATTCCCAGAGAGATACTGTAGGCATTACATTCACTGCTAGTTCTACAAACTCATTTAGTCTGTTCTCAGCCAGGTTTTTATCAGTTGGTACAGGGATCACTTCAAAATTAAATGCAGAATGTCTGTTGTAGTCAATAAACAAATTGTTTGAAGTACTCAGAACTGTCACCTCATGTCCTCTTTTCGCAAGCTCCTCAAGAAGAGTCTTTAAATTGAGCCAGTGGCTCATTTCACAGGGCCACACCAGCACCTTCCCACAGAATGCAGAGCCGGCACAGCAGAGCAGCAGCAGCAGGACTGCAGAAGCCAACTTCCCAGGAGCCATGCTGGCCTCTCCCAACCCATGCTCTGAAGAGGTCCAGTGAGTGCGAGGGTGAACGGGCAATGAGATGCCAAAAAAATCAAATATTAACTTCTTGAGATAGGAAAGGATGAATGTGAAGGGAACTTTGTCAACATTATTGATTGGGAGTGTTCCTATCTGTCTCTTGTTTAGGGGGTGAAAACTACTTAAACAGATGCAAAAAATGGATTTAGTACAGTTATACTACAATGCAAAGGACCACATGGCCAACTCTCTTTAAAAGAACAGCTATTGTCTCCATATGGGCTGACCATTGCCCTAGTTCCATGTATTGACATATACAGAGCTGGGAATGATTGCTCCTTATCTCCTTAATTGGCCTTAAGCAATGTAAATCAGTCTGGATGTGGTGCTGAGGTGTAGACTTTCAAGCAAGGTGACAGGGAAGTGTTTCCCCACCCTCTAGATTCCAAAGAACATTTATGAGCCATCAGGTGGGAGAACCAAGCTACACCCTGTCAGTTGGGATCTAGTCTTGAGATAAGAGGCTAAGACTTCCCAGGGCATAAAAGATTACATATGAGAGCTAAAGCACCCACCCAAAAACATCAGATACTCCCTCACATTGTGTGATGCAGGTTATTTTTTCTGCATACCCTTCACTCTGCATATTGCAGAGATGATTTCAAGCCTCCAACCTAGCCCAGCTCACAGCACGTACCTGCTTCCCACATTCTCACAATCCCTTGTCCTGGAGACACTCCCTGCTTCACAAACTGATAAAATCCAGGTTCGACTCTGTGTTGAGGCCTTTGTCCCAGCTCGATTTAGAACCCCCCCCCCAGCTCCTCATAACTATAAATATGCCTTAGTTCCTTATTCTCACCATTGGTTCCACTGGAAGTGGTAGATTGGAATTAACTCACTAGTGTTCCAATACCTTTCCCATGGGACTATAAATATAAGCTTCCTGGATCACAAGATCTGAGAAGGGATTTTCATAGTACAATTTTAAATATTATAATAGGCAAAAAGTGATATTTAAATGAACACTTTCTAAATATAAAAGTAGAACTATCATACTTAAATAGTAAAGACAATGTTGGGTCCATTTGGGCAAAAATAGAGTTGCTCTTGAATTGATTATATTTTCCTTTAGATGACAGGCACATTATACAGTGAAAGAAAAGATATAATAACTTTTTTAAAATGTTCTGGAAGAACAGGGGATCATGGCAGTACAAATGATAAAATATGCTTTCATTAAGATTTATTAAAGAAATTAATAGGAAATCTTTAAAAGGGCAGCATTTTAGACTGTATTTAGACTCTAGGAATTAGAAAGACAAATGTAAAGAGACAGAGAAATCAGACTAAAAGTTGCCTGTTATCAAAATAATTAACGTAAGAATTTACCAGGAAGAATCAACAGGCAAAACAGGGACGCACAGGACTCCACTCAGACATGACTCTCCAGCACCCAACCTGCCTCTGTTCTCCAGAGACTCAGCTCTTGGCACTGGTCTTGGCAAACATAGGATATAATTGTAATAAAAGAGGTAAGATAGGGTGAGAAATCTTGCCAGTCCCCAGACATTTGGAGACACAAAAATTTACACTGGCTGTCTCCAGGACTCTGCCTACTGAGGTGCAGGACATCCACAGAACTTTGACCACAGAGTTTATTAGCACCTCCTGGCATAATGCCTCTGTCTTCTTTCAGTTCCTAAAAAGAGGACCTCTTCTCATTCCTTACAGATAGCCTTTTTGCCTTCCGTCTGCCTGTATCCAGGTGTTACACTGTGGTCTTGTTGCTTTTACACTGTTGAGAGGTCTCTGCCTTGCTTCTTCTTTCACAACTGGCACCAAAACCCACGAAACAAAGAGACCAAAAGATTCTTCTCTGTGGGGATCTCAAACCCTCTTTTGAACCTCCTTCCCCTCAACTGAGACCACTTGGTGGGCGACATCCGTCCCTCTGACCTCAGCTCTGGTTTGTGATGCTTCTGCCGTGCCAGATCTTACTGGGTGTTTCAGTAGTCATAAACTTCCCACCATGGTCTCTCTCCTCCACTTTCTGCCCTGTTTCCTGCCTTTTATTTTCCCCAATAATGTCACACAGAGAGGAGTTCCCTGTTTTTTGCGCTTTTTAAACTCCAGCACTAGTCTTGAAAATCACTCCAGGAAGGGCTGCTTCCTTCTCGCCTCTGACAGTTGCAGAGATGTTTGCCTGGCTCGGTGGCTCACATCTCACTTCTTTGGGTCCCAGCAGGAGACACAGCCACTGCTGCACATCTCTCTCTGTACTCCAGTGAGGCATTGTCCATCCTTCATCCTCCACTCCTCCCTCATGGCTTGCCTCCCTTGGAATTTTAAAACTCTGTCTTTCTCCTAACATGAAATCCAAATGATTTATATTATTCTTTAATACAATAAATCTTTGTGGCCTTTCCATGGTAAGTTTGATATTTCCATTTTGTGAGTTCTGGATAATTATAGCCATAAACTAATGAAGTGGTTGGAAGTGGCTTATGTCTGCACCTTCCTTACACTCCAAAGTATTCCTACTCTGTGCTCTTTATGGGATCTCTCCCAAATTCCCTTCATTTTCTTTCCATCCATGACCCCTCTACTTTCTCCCAGGATTGATTCCTCTGTGCTGCTCTGGCTGACCCTGGCTCTTCTTGGTGTTCTCCTGCTCTCCACAGCTGAACAACTGCTAGCACTCCGTGAGCCTCCCTGCCATACTCTGTACTACTGAACCACTTCCTCTGGAAGAGCCTCTTCTCTTGTCCATCCCAATCCTGTGCCATCTATCTATCTAGCCCGTGCTTCCCTGAATCAAATCCTCCTCCTTACATGTCATCTCTGCCCCATACTCCATCTGGACTCCATCTGGTCCCTCTTCCCCACACTTTTTCCTCAGTCTCCACTTTGGATGGTTTTGGCAGCCAAGGTAATTGTTCAGGTTCATGTTCCCTTCTCCTTCTCTGATGAGCCTCAAATTAGTCAGCATCTGGATTCCTTTCTTACTGACCCCAACAAATATACCCAGAAATTTCACTACCTTTACAATCTCGCCTGAGATGACCTAAATGTCCACTTTCCTTCTACTCTGTCACATGAAGGATGGAACATGTCTGAGCTTCAATTCAGGACACCACGGATGACCACAGGTGCCTTGGACCTAATCTTTGGTAGAGAATTTCGGACATCTCTACACTAATCCAAACTGGAATATTAATTAGCTAGATGAGTATAGGCAATGCCCTGCTAAGAGGCATAACTGTATGGTAACTTGCTTGGTTGAAGGGCTCTACAAAGCAGCACACAGGGCAGTCAATTATGATAGTTGGATGGAAACCACCTGGACAAAATGTGAAACTCTGGTTCAGTTTATCCCTAGCCTTGCTGCTAGCTTCGGGTTTTATAAGGCCCTGGACTCAGAAGCCCAACTGATTTTAAAGATGTATTTTATTATCCAATCTTCTCTAGATAGTCAGAAAAGAGACAGATTGATGCTCTGAATCACTCTCTCACACTGGCCAAAGGTTTGTAGGTTAACATCTAATACACATTCTAATGTGCATTTGACATACTTCACACCTACACTGCCATATGGGCAGGAAGAGAATTTCTCACCTCTCGTGGATCCTCAACACTAATGTCACAAACTTTAAAGATGCTCTTTTCCAGGCAGCTCTTCTGCCAAACTGAGTGAGGGCTATATTCAATATGAGGGACATAAGAGTCCTCTCTCTGTGCTCCTCCCCTTTTGCTCTTGTTGTTTGTGCTGTCTTCCACCACCATGAACTGTTGTCCTCTACCACGTGCCACTCTGCCTTGGAGTCAGATGATTATAGATTGAAAACTCCACAAATTATGAGCTCAATAATCCCTTCCCTCCTTCTTTTGAGTGTCAAATGTTTTGTCCCACTAACAAGATAAAAGCAACCAAGACAACCACTGATATTTATTAGCATCTTCACACTTAATTCCCTCATCTTCTTTCAGCCCTTACAAAAAGTCCCACTTCTCTTCATTCTCTAAAAATGGTCTTATAGACCTCTGCCTGACTGCACTCAGGTATTAAATATAGCATTGTTGTTCTCACAGAAGCTTAATGAGAGCTCTCTGCCTTGCTTTGTTCTTTATAAGATATAGTCAAGAATATGAAAGTCCAGGGTAAACATCCCCCTTACACAACTCTGGCAAAATGCAAAAGACATAAAGAGAAGCCACCTAAGAGCTCTTATTTACAAAACACACATGCACCCCTTTAACTTAATCATTAACAGTAAGTTATCTTTCTATACTCCCCCACCATACACTTATCCATCACAAAGGTGAAGGATAAACGCAAAGGCCAGGAAGCATATACCTAGATAAAGGTGCTAAAGTTTAAATCAAAGACAGCCAGAGAGTCAAACAGGTGGCAATGTATTCCAAATGCCCACACTGGAGATGGGAGAAATCAGCACTCATAGAAAGAAGTCGAGGAAAACAGTCTAGGGGTTTTCACTTCTGATATCCCTACTCTCTCAGGATAGCTATTTTTCCTTTTTCTGTTCCATATTTTACCAAATAAACCATCTTCTTTTATGTTGAACTCTATACCTTTATTTCATTAAGTAAAGCTACGTGTTTATTGCCTGGGCAATTATTTGTTTGAGATGAGGAACAGTGCATAAATCACACACTATCACAACATTAGGTTTCCTGACTAAAATATAATAAGTGTCCAGTCCTGGAAGCTTTGGCCATAGGTTGGCTGAGACAAATCCCCTAGGCTGACTCCATAAAGGTGTATGGGCTATAAGAAAACCAGTCAAAAAGTACTTATTTCTGTGTGTAGTTCAACTGGTGAGTGGCCACACTTTTCAGTGTGGACCATTGGCCTCCAACACATCGCCAAAAAATCTAGAGTCACTATTAACATCTGCCTTTAAAACAAATCCCATTTACCAGAGAAAGGGCCTTCTAGGGAGCTCTCTGCTTTTTAGATATAAAGCAATCATAATTACTAGGGGCACTAAGAGGGCCACCAGAGCCCTGATCCAATTCTCAGGGGAAAGAGATAGACAAACATAGACAAGTGGCCTCAAGTCTCTACACTTGTAAAAAGTGCAGAAAAAAATGCCAAGCACACACCTACAATCCCAACACTCAAAATGCTGAGGCAGGAGGATGATGTCAAAATTGACATCTCAAATATGGGTTCTTTTAAAAAAAATTATAAATTATTTTATAGCCTGACAGAAATGAGATCTAACTTTGGTTATCTAAGTGGAGTCACTTAAATTTTATAATATAGATATATTTCTTCTTCTGAGACTTCCATTTAACCCAGCTGTTTTCTTTCTAGGTGTCTCCCCAAAACAGCTACAGAAACATAATACAGTCATATATGCATATGCAGGTTTATAGCAACACAACTCATCTTAGCTAAATCCTTGAATCAGCCTTATGTCAGTGGATGTTTAGGCTACAAGGAATTTGAGATGTTTGTAGGAAAATGAATATACATGGAAAGTATACATGTTGAGCAAAACGTATCAGGTTTATAAGTTTAAATTCCTTACTTCATCTCCCATTTAAGGAGGTCAAGGTATGAATAAAGTCCAAAATAAAGGAGTGATAGAAAAAAAATGCAAATGAATATTTTCAAAAGAAAAGTTGTTCAGGGGAATGAAGATGAGGAGTGGGTGGGAAGGATATAGATTTAAAAGGATTTAAGATGTGTGAGTCACAGATTCCAAATATCCACAATGAATGTAAATACTAAATCTAGTAAACATGAGCTAGAATTAAAATAATACCAACAATAATAAAAACAGGCACAAGGGATTTAGAGAAGAAGGGAGGGAATTGGATGCAGCTAGGAGGGGAATTGAAAAGAATCTATAGAAGACGATTTGCAGGGCTCCCCTTGAGTGCTGAACAGTTATCTCCACATTAGGTAAACTGGGCTCTATCTGCATGTACTGATATGTACAGAGCTGGCAAGCTATTTCCTTCTCCCTTCAACTGAACCCAAGTTATATAAATAGGGCTATATGAGGCACTGATGTGTAATCTTTGAAACCAGCCAACAATTTCCTGCCCCCCCCATCACTCTGCTCAAATGGTTGAGCCCAGTGAAATGGCAGAGCTCCAGGGATGTCAACTGGGTCTGAGCCTCAAAATAAGAAGTTATTTTGTGCACTTCCTAGTGCACAAAAGTTTGTATATTACAATCTGAAGCAATAGCTTCCTAAACATTTAAATGCTATTCCAATTGAGTCATGCAGACTGGTCTTCCTGCATACTCTTCTCTCTGCATATTGCAAAGGTGTTTTTGGCCTCCTACCTAAGCCTAGCTCATCGACTTACATAACTCTAGCCATTCTCAACATCTGTCATCCTCAAGTCACTCCTTTCTTCATGAGTTAATAAATTCTGGGTGAGGGGCTCTTTGTCACATGAATCCTCACCCAGATCAAACTTAGGACCCCTTGTCTTTCAGTAACTCTGAATATGTCTGAGTGTCTTCATTCTTGCTTTGGCTTACATGGGAGATGTTAGAGTGAAATTAATTTACTGTTATTCCAATAACATTTCAATGGGATTACAAATACAAACTTCTCAGACTTCAAGGTGGATGGGAAAAGGGGTTATAATATTTGGTATCAAGATGTAGTAGGTAAATGTATTATGCCATAAATGAATATAAACTTCATGTACAGCAACATATACTAATTAAATTAAAAAGGAAAATAGATTACAATTGCTCTTTTAA